ATTCCTTGACCAAACAAGGCACGTGGGGAGCTCAGCTACTGGAGACATGGTGCAAATACCCAGACAAGATTTGTGATGCCAAAAGGCTCCTGTAAGCTTCCAAAAGATGCGGTGGGTAAGAAACAGAAGCATGTGGTGGCTTCTCCGGCTTCATCTGCCTCTGTGTAATAAGAACGTTGCTTATGGTGGCTGTGAATCTGACAAGAGAGAATGGTGTGTGTTGTCAGGGCCAGGGCTGGGGTGTGAAGGAGGCCTCTGCCTCTCCTTCCTCCATTCCCTCTCAGTCCCAGGGGCATCTCTTGAAGACTGTTTGCTGTTTGGGATTCTGCCCAGAAGAGGGGGCCCTGGGGTCAGATTCCTGCTGCCTTCTTGCCTTTGGGGATTTCCTGAACCTCCTGCTTTGCACTTGCTTTCTACTACAAGCCTTCCTGAACTCAAATTCCAGGCTTGTGAAACCCATCTCTGAAACAGCCTTACAAGACCTGCTCTACATCCAGAAAAAATACTGCCCAAAAGGTACGTTGTCTGGCAAGGAAACTAGTCCAATGTGGGCTAGGCAAAACTACGGTGAGGTGGATCTGGAATTGGTTAAATGGACGAACCCAGAGGGTGATTCTCACCAATGCTTCCTCTTCATCCTGGAAAGAAGTGACGAGTGGAGTGCCATCCGCAGAGTTCCGTCCTGGGCCCGGTCCTGTTCAACATCTTTATTAATGACTTAGATCAGTGGTTCTCAACCTGTGGGTCCCCAGGTGTTTTAGCCTACAACTCCCAGAAATCCCAGCCAGTTTACCAGCTGTTAGGATTTCTGGGAGTTGAAGGCCAAAACATCAGGGGACCCACAGGTTGAGAACCACTGACTTAGATGAAGGGCTAGAAGGCAGGATCATCAAGTTTGCAGACGACACCAAATTGGGAGGGATAGCCAATACTCCAGAGGACAGGAGCAGGATTCAAAACCATCTTGACAGATTAGAGAGGTGGGCCAAAACTAACAAAATGAAGTTCAACAGTGACAAATGCAAGATACTCCACTTTGGCAGGAAAAACGAAATGCAAATATACAGAATGGGGGACACCTGGCTCGAGAGCAGGACATGTGGAAAGGATCTTGGGGTCCTCGTGGACAACAAGTTAAACATGAGCTAACAATGTGATGTGGCATCAAAAAAAGCCAATGGGATTTTGGCCTGCATCAATAGGAGGAGCATAGTGTCTAGGTCTAGGGAAGTCCTGCTCCCCATGCTCTATTCTGCTCTTGGTTAGACCACACCTGGAATATTGTGTCCAATTCTGGGCACCACAATTGAAGAGAGATATTGACAAGCTGGAATGTGTCCAGAGGAGGGCGACTAAAATGATCAAGGGTCTGGAGAACAAGCCCTATGAGGAGTGGCTTAAAGAGCTGGGCATGTTTAGCCTGAAGAAGAAAAGGCTGAGAGGAGATATGATGAGAGCCATGTATAAATATGTGAGAGGAAGCCACAGGGAGGAGGAGGGAGCAAGCTTGTTTTCTGCTTCCCTGGAGACTAGGATGCCATGGAACAATGGCTTCAAACTACAAGAGAGGAGATTCCATCTGAACATGAGGAAGAACTTCCTGACTGTGAGAGCCGTTCAGCAGTGGAACTCTCTGCCCCGGAGTGTGGTGGAGGCTCCTTCTTTGGAAGCTTTTAAACAGAGAATGGATGGCCATCTGTCAGGGGTGATTTGGATGCAATATTCCTGCTTCTTGGCAAGGGGTTGGACTGGATGGCCCATGAGGTCTCTTCCAACTCTTTGATTCTATGATTCTATGATCTATGAATGTTGGTGGACAGGAAAAGAGACTGAAAGATGGAGATGAAGAATCATAGAATCATAGAATCAAAGAGTTGGAAGAGACCTCATGGGCCATCCAGTCCAACCCCATTCTGCCAAGAAGCAGGAATATTGCATTCAAATCACCCCTGATAGATGGCCATCCAGCCTCTGTTAAAAGCTTCCAAAGAAGGAGCCTCCACCACACTCCGGGGCAGAGAGTTCCACTGCTGAACGGCTCTCACAGTCAGGAAGTTCTTCCTTGTGTTCAGATGGAATCTCCTCTCTTGAAGTTTGAAGCCATTGTTACCGTGCGTCCTAGTCTCCAAGGAAGCAGAAAACAAGCTTGCTCCCTCCTCCTCCCTGTGGCTTCCTCTCACATATTTATACATGGCTATCATGTCCCCTCTCAGCCTTAAGAAGAGGGTCACCATAAGTTACAACTGGTCAGCCTCAGGCCCCTTCCTTTTCCACCTCAGCCGCTTAAGCTGGCTGACCCTTCTGGCAATAGCTTAGTATAATGCCTTAGTATAATGCCAAGTTTTTAACTTTGTTTGTGGCTTTAAAAATATTTATATACACATTATAACCGAATTGGATTTACCTATTTCTTTAAAGTGTTTTTTTCTTTTTCTTTGTTTTTATGGACTTTGCTGGACAGTTACTCTGGACTATGTTGTTCCCACATATCTCCCTACTGAATTGGATTTACCTATTTCTTTAAAGTGTTTTTTTTAACCTTACTGCTTTTTAATTATCTTCATGTTTTTGTTCTATGCTTTTACATTCGTGCCTTGGATTCATGTTTCCTGATTTTTTGCATTTTAATTGGGAAGTTTGACTTTGTTTTTATGGACTTTGCTGGACAATTACTCTGGACTATGTTGTTCCTGCTCATCTTCCTACCTAATTGGATTTACCTTTTTCTTTAAAGTGTTTTTTTTTGTATTGTTGTTTTTGTATTGTTGTCTGTTGTGTTTTTTTTAATGATGTACTTTGGGCTTGGCCTCTTGTAAGCCGCACCGAGTCCTGCGGGAGATGGTAGTGGGGTACAAATAAAGGTTTATTATTATTATAGTATTATTATTATTATTTTTAACCTTACTGCTTTAATTATCTTCATGGTTTTGTTCTATGCTTTTACGTTCATGCCTTGGATTCATGTTTCCTGATTTCTTGCATTTTAATTGGAAAGTTTGACTTTGTTTTGATGGACTTTGCTGGACGATTACTCTGGACTACGTTGTTCCTGCTTATCTTCCTACCGATTTGGATTTACCTATTTCTTTAAAGTGTTTTTTTTTGTAACCTTGCTTTTTTTAATTATCTTCATGGTTTTGTTGGGAAGTTTGACTTTGTTTTGATGGACTTTGCTGGACGATTACTCTGGACTATGTTGTTCCTGCTTATCTTCCTACCAAATTGGATTTTCCTATTTCTTTAAAGTGTTTCTTTTTCTTTTTGCTTTGATGGACTTTGCTGGACAATTACTCTGGACTATGTTGTTCCTGCCTAGCTTCCTACCAAATTGGATTTACCTATTTCTTTAAAGTGTTTTTTTTCTTTTTCTTTTTTGGACTGTGCTGGACGATTACTCTGGACTATGTTGTTCCTGCTTATCTTCCTACCAAATTGGATTTACCTATTTCTTTAAAGTGTTTTTTTTCTTTTTCTTTTTTGGACTCTGCTGGACGATTACTCTGGACTATGTTGTTCCTGCTTATCTTCCTACCAAATTGGATTTACCTATTTCTTTAAAGTGTTTTTTTCTTTTTCTTTTTTGTTTTGTTTTTATGGACTTTGCTGGACAATTACTCTGGACTATGTTGTTCCTGCCTAGCTTCCTACCAAATTGGATTTACCTATTTCTTTAAAGTGTTTCTTTTTCTTTTTCTTTTGTTTTTTTGGACTCTGCTGGACGATTACTCTGGACTACATTGTTCCTGCTTATCTTCCTACCTAATTGGATTTACCTATTTCTTTAAAGGGTTTTTTTTCTTTTTCTTTTTTGTTTTGTTTTTATGGACTTTGCTGGACAATTACTCTGGACTATGTTGTTCCTGCCTAGCTTCCTACCAAATTGGATTTACCTATTTCTTTAAAGTGTTTTTTTCTTTTTCTTTTGTTTTTTTGGACTCTGCTGGACGATTACTCTGGACTATGTTGTTCCTGCTTATCTTCCTACCGAATTGGATTTTCCTATTTCTTTAAAGTGTTTCTTTTTCTTTTGTTTTTATGGACTTTGCTGGACAATTACTCTGAACTATGTTGTTCCTGCCTAGCTTCCTACCAAATTGGATTTACCTATTTCTTTAAAGTGTTTTTTTTCTTTTTCTTTTGTTTTTTTGGACTCTGCTGGACAATTACTCTGGACTATGTTGTTCCTGCTTATCTTCCTACCAAATTGGATTTACCTATTTCTTTAAAGTGTTTTTTTCTTTTTTGTTTTATTTTTATGGACTTTGCTGGACAATTACTCTGGACTATGTTGTTCCTGCCTAGCTTCCTACCAAATTGGATTTACCTATTTCTTTAAAGTGTTTTTTTCTTTTTCTTTTGTTTTTTTGGACTCTGCTGGACAATTACTCTGGACTATGTTGTTCCTGCTTATCTTCCTACCTAATTGGATTTTCCTATTTCTTTAAAGTGTTTATTTTTCTTTCTTTTTTTGTTTTTATGGACTTTGCTGGACAATTACTCTGGACTATGTTGTTCCTGCTTATCTTCCTACCAAATTGGATTTACCTATTTCTTTAAAGTGTTTTTTTTCTTTTTCTTTTGTTTTTTGGACGATTACTCTGGACTATGTTGTTCCTGCTTATCTTCCTACCAAATTGGATTTACCTATTTCTTTAAAGTGTTTTTTTTCTTTTTCTTTTGTTTTTTGGACGATTACTCTGGACTATGTTGTTCCTGCTTATCTTCCTACCGAATTGGATTTACCTATTTCTTTGAAGTGCTTTCTATTTGCTGCTTTTTTTAATTATCTTCAATAAAAGAATTGTTTTCCATCCAAGGGTGTGGTGTTTGAATTCTGGGGGCTTTTCCTGTCCTGGAGTGCAATAGCCGCACCTTGGTGTCCATGGCAAGCCGCCCCCTCCCCTCCTTTGGCGCCGGGCCCACCGGCAAGGGCCCCCTCCCCTTCTCCCCTTCTCGGAGGCCCCTCCCCCTCGAGGCTGAAGAGGACGGGGATTGGCGGGAGGAGGCAGAGGCAGCTACGCCCATGCCCGGCGCACTCGCGGGGAAGAAGGAGGAGAAGCAGGTGGACGCGGGTGGCGGGCGGCAGGAGGAGAAGGAGGAGGAGAAGCAGGAGCCAAGGAAGAAAGGAAGGGAGGGAGAGAGCAAGGAAGGAAGGAAAGAAGGAAGGAAGGAAGGAGCGCCCTCAGAGCCGGGTGAGCAGCAAGGCGGGCACCAAAGGTGGGGGGGGGGCGTTATTTCAAGTCTTGGGGGGCGCCTCTTGCGAGTGGGGGGGCATTGTCTCTGTTGGGTGAAGGTGAAGAGGTCTCCCATGCGGGTGAATGTGTGTGTGTGTGTGTGTGTCGCTGGGGCGTGACTCCTTTGTCGCCGGATGGAGGCCTGGAGAGGCAACGCCCCTTGCATGGATGGAGATGGATGGAGATGCTGGGGTGGGGTGGGGTGGGGGGGGGGTTGATCTTGGAAGGAGGGAGGGATGCCTGGATGGATGGCCAGGCAAGGAAGAAGCCCCCCTTTGCAGAACTATAAGTCACCATCCCTTGTTTGGGGGGGGGGGGGGTCTGTCTTGGGAGGAGGGGGGGGGTCTGGGCAGCGCCTGACAATGGCGCCTGGCGCGGTGGATTGGCTGGCGCAGGGCTGGGCTTTGTCAGGCTTCCCCCGCCTCCCCTCCCTGGAGACCCCCAGGCAAGCAGCCCAACCCCGGGAGCATTGGGGAGAAAGGGGGGGGGGGGGAGTTGGCCTGCATCAATGAGAATCTAGTGCCTAGATCTAGGGAAGTCCTGCTCCCCAGGCTCTCTTCTGCCTTGGTCAGACCACACCTGGAATCACATTCTGGTGTGAGGTGGACTCTAAGCTGGAATGTGTCCAGAGGAAGAGGGCTAGTCAAAGGATCAAGGGTCTGGGGAACAAGCCCTATGAGGAGTGGCTCAAAGAGCTGGGCATGTGTAGCCTGAAGAAGAGACAGGACGAGGGCCATTGACTCTAAGCTGGAATGTGTCCAGAGGAAGAGGGTGACTAAAACGATCAAAGGTTTGGATTTATTATATCGTGTCATTCGCAACTAGAACATTGGTTTTGAGAACAAGCCCTATGAGGAGCAGCTCAAAGAGCTGGGCATGTGTAGCCTGAAGAAGGATCAGAGGAGACATGATGAGGGCCATTGACTCTAAGCTGGAATGTGTCCAGAGGAAGAGGGTGACTAAATGATCAAGGGACTGGAGAACAAGCCCTATGAGGAGTGGCTCAAAGAGCTGGGCATGTGTAGCCTGAAGAAGAGAAGGCTACACAGCCATTGATTCTAAGCTGGAATGTGTCCAGAGGAAGTGGGTGACTAAAACGATAAAAGGTTTGGATTTATTATATCGTGTCATCCACAACCAGAACATTGGTTTGCAGAACAAGCCCTATGAGGAGTGGCTCAAAGAGCTGGGCATGTGTAGCCTGAAGAAGAGACATGATGAGGGCCATTGACTCTAAGCTGGAATGTGTCCAGAGGAAGAGGGTGACTAAAACGATCAAAGGTTTGGATTTATTTCATCGTGTCATTCGCAACTAGAACATTGGTTTGGAGAACAAGCCCTATGAGGAGCTGCTCAAAGAGCTGGGCATGTGTAGCCTGAAGAAGGCTGAGAGGAGACATGATGAAGGCCATTGACTCTAAGCTGGAATGTGTCCAGAGGTAGAGGGTGACTAAAACAATCAAGGGTTTGGAGAACAAGCCTTAAGAGGAGTGGCTCAAAGAGCTGGGCATGTGTAGCCTGAGGGAGGCTGAGAGGAGACGTTGACTCTAAGCTGGAATATGTCCAGAGGAAGAAGGTGACTAAAACGATCAAGGGTTTGGAGAACAAGCCCTATGAGGAGCCACTCAAAGAGCTGAGCATGTGTAGCCTGAAGAAGAGACATGACGAGGGCCATTGACTCTAAGCTGGAATGTGTCCAGAGGAAGAGGGCGACTCAAAGATTCAAGGGTCTGGAGGACAAGCCCTATGAGGAGCTGCTCAAAGAGCTGGGCATGTGTAGCCTGAAGAAGGCTGAGAGGAGACATGATGAGGGGCATTGACTCTAAGCTGGGATGTGTCCAGAGGAAGAGGGCGACTCAAAGGATCAAGGGTTTGGAGAACAAGCCCTATGAGGAGCCACTCAAAGAGCTGGGCATGTGTAGCCTGAAGAAGGCTGAGAGGAGGCATCATGAAAGCCATGGATAAATATGTGAGGGGAAGTCATAGGGAGTAGGGAGCAAGCTTGTTTTCTGCAGCCCTGGAGTCTAGGAGACAATGGAGCTACAAGAACATTAGAAATAACATCCTAAGAGTGAGAGCTGTTCAGCAGTGGAACTCTCTGCCCCGGAGTGTGGGTGGAGGCTCCTTCTTTGGAGGCTTTGAAACAGAGGCTGAGTGGCCGTCTGTTAGGGGTGCTTTGAACCTGATTTCCTACTTCTTGGCAGAATGGGGTCGGACTGGATGATGGCCCACCAGGTCTCTTCCAACTCTAGGATTCTTTGATTCTATGATTCTACTGTGAGAGCTGTTCAGCAGTGGAACTCTCTGCCTTGGAGTGTGGTGGAGGCTCCTTCTTTGGAGAGGCTGGATGGCCATCTGTTGGGGGTGCTTTGAATGTGTTTTCCTGCTTCTTGGCAGAAGGAAGTTGGACTGGATGGCCCACCAGGTCTCTTCCAACTCTATGACTATGTATTTCCAAAGGCTTCCATGGCTGGAATCTCTGGGTTGTTGTAAGTTTTTGCAGGCTGTATGGCCATGTTCTAGAAACATTCTCTCCTGACGTTTCGCCTGCATCTATGGCTGGCATCCTCAGAGGTTGTGAGGTCTATGACTCTTATGATTCTATGGCTGCAAGGGCTGCTGCTGCTGCTGGAGAGCTCCCTTGCCCAACCCCTCGGCCTCCCCGCCCCTCTTTCTCGGAAGCACCTGCCTGCCACCAAGAGGCAGTCAGGTAGGAGCTGGGCTCATAGAGAATACTAGCGCTGGGAGGGACCCAAAGGGACATCCCATTGCAGCCCCCTTCTTTCCTTCTTTCTGCCACCCAAGCCCTCCCAACAGGCAGCCACCAAGCCTCCGCTTCCAACCCTCCAGAGAAGGAAGGAGGTTCCCCCAGATACCCAGGCACTCTCCATTTCCCCCTCAAGCAGCCTGAGGCCTGGGAGCAGGAGGAGGAGGTGGAGGTGGAGGATGAGGTGGAAGTGGAGGAGGAGGTGGAGGTGGAAGTGGAGGAGGAGGAGGAGATGGAGGAGGAGGTGGAGGAGAGGATGAGGTGGAAGTGGAGGAGGAGGTGGAGGTGGAAGTGGAGGAGGAGATGGAGGAGGAGGAGATGGAGGAGGAGGTGGAGGAGATGGAGGAGATGGAGGATGAGGAGGTGGAGGAGGAGGAGGAGATGGAGATGGAGGATGAGGTGGAAGTGGAGGAGGAGGTGGAGGTGGAAGTGGAGGAGGAGATGGAGGAGGAGGAGGAGATGGAGGAGGAGGTGGAGGAGATGGAGGATGAGGAGGTGGAGGAGGAGGAGGAGATGGAGATGGAGGATGAGGTGGAAGTGGAGGAGGAGGTGGAGGTGGAAGTGGAGGAGGAGATGGAGGAGGAGGAGGAGATGGAGGAGGAGGTGGAGGAGATGGAGGATGAGGAGGTGGAGGAGGAGGAGGAGATGGAGATGGAGGATGAGGTGGAAGTGGAGGAGGAGGTGGAGGTGGAAGTGGAGGAGGAGATGGAGGAGGAGGAGGAGATGGAGGAGGAGGTGGAGGAGATGGAGGATGAGGAGGTGGAGGAGGAGGAGGAGATGGAGATGGAGGATGAGGTGGAAGTGGAGGAGGAGGTGGAGGTGGAAGTGGAGGAGGAGATGGAGGAGGAGGAGGAGATGGAGGAGGAGGTGGAGGAGATGGAGGATGAGGAGGTGGAGGAGGAGGAGGAGATGGAGATGGAGGATGAGGTGGAAGTGGAGGAGGAGGTGGAGGTGGAAGTGGAGGAGAGATGGAGGAGGAGGTGGAGGAGATGGAGGATGAGGAGGCGGAGGTGGAGGAGGAGGAGGAGATGGAGGATGAGGTGGAAGTGGAGGAGGAGGTGGAAGTGGAGGAGGAGATGGAGGAGGAGGAGGAGATGGAGGAGGAGGTGGAGGAGATGGAGGATGAGGAGGTGGAGGAGGAGGAGGAGATGGAGATGGAGGATGAGGTGGAAGTGGAGGAGGAGGTGGAGGTGGAAGTGGAGGAGGAGATGGAGGAGGTGGAGTGGAGGAGGAGGAGGAGGAGGAGGTGGTGGAGGAGGTGGTGGAGGAGGAGTGGCAGCCAATGGGATTTTGGTCTGCATCAAGAGGAGTCTAGTGCCTAGATCCAGGGAAGTCGTGCTACCTATGCTCTATTTCAGGCATCCAAACTGCGACCCTCCAGCTGCTTGGGCCTCCAACTCCTAGAAGGCCTAACAAGATTGTTCAATTGTCAGCAATTCTTGGTGGCAGGCAGGTGCTTCAGAGAAAGAGGGGCGGGGGGGCCAAGGGGTTGGGCAGGGGAGCTCTCCAGCAGCAGCAGCCCTTTCAGCCATAGAATCATAGAGCCATCGATCTCACAACCTCTGAGGATCCCAGGCATAGATGCAGGCAAAACGTCAGGAGTGAATGCTTCTAGAACATGGTCATACAGCCTGCAAAAACTTACAACAACCCAGTGATTCCTGCTCTATTTCATTCTGCCTTAGTCAGACCACATTACCTGGAATCACACTGCATCCCATTCTGGGCCCCGCAATTCAAGGGAGATGATGCCTCTAAGCTGGAATGTGTCCAGAGGAAGAGGGCAGCTCAAAGGATCCAGGGTTTGGAGAACAAGCCCTATGAGGAGAGGCTTAAAGAGCTGGGCAGGTTTAGCCTGCAGAAGAGAAGGCTGAGAGGAGATATGATAGCCATGTATAAATATGTGAGAGGAAGCCACAGGGAGGAGGAGGGAGCAAGCTTCCTTCCCTGGAGACTAGGATGCAATGGAGCAATGGCTTCAAACTACAAGAGAGGAGATTCCACCTGAACATGAGGAAGAACTTCCTGACTGTGAGAGCCGTTCATCAGTGGAACTCTCTGCCCCAGAGTGTGGTGGAGGCTCCTTCTTTGGAGGCTTTTAAACAGAGGCTGGATGGACATCTGTCAGGGGTGATTTGAATGTAATATTCCTGCTTCTTGGCAGAATGGGGTTGGACTGGATGGCCCAGGA